TGGTTATGTAAGAGATTCTGGTTCATGATGAAATCTGTGCTGCAGGAACAGGATTTCCGTGTACCAAGTTAAGAGCCACACTTATCAAATGTTGAAATCGAAGGAATGGGATTTGAACAGCTTTCTCATAGGTTAAAAACTCAGTACTTAAGCAGTTTACACCCTGTTGCTCAACTCAAGCCAACTGTCAAAAGTTTCATGTACTGATGTCAGGCTTTGTGTTGGCCATCCCTGACTCTTTTCCAATTCAACCCTGCTGGACGAGGAAAGCAATGGCTCTGAATTTGCAACTCGTTTCCTACGTCTCAGTAGATGTAGCTTCACAACCTCATCGATTGACTTCGCTTCTTTTCCTAGTCACTCTTCGCCTAACTTCAATACTGCGACTATATTATTACCAGTCAACATAGGAGACAGAACTCAAGCAAGTCAAAGACATCTAGGCTTATCATATCTTCCACTTTCAATAGCCATGTATCATAGGCATAAAGGAAAACAGAGAGAACTCCTCAGCAGTACACACTCCCTTTAGTTGTTGATTGGATATCACGTCTCCTCCAGGTATGATATATACTATCACATACCATACGAGCTTTATATAGTCTGATAGTAGTTGAGTCCTGCAGCAATATCTTAAATTTGAAAGGAATGTATCGCATGTCAGACATTCGAAGATTGCTGCTCAGCGTGTTCAGATAGCTGTGCCTTTTCGTTAGTGTCTTCACCTACGACGACAGTATCATCATCCACATACTCTAATTGGGCGAGACTGTCCCTTGGTAACAAGTGAATCCCTGAGTCTCCAAAGTCACTTAGAGTCAATTTTATTAGTATATTTATAATGATATTAAAATACAATTAGGATCGATGTGTCGGGGGAAACAAATGTCCACTTGTGTAGTTCTTGCATTGTTCAAATAAATATAACTCTGAAATTTATTTACATAAGCAGTTGAACATTTTCACACATTTCAATAAGGTTTTGATGTTAAATGTGTCAATACCAGCTGGAGAGTTGTTAAATGTGATCGTATTCTACAGTTGTTCTTTTTAAAAATTCTGACTTAAGATTGTGAAGTAGAAAAGTCTAAGACTTTAAGTTTAAGTTTATTTCTCCCTGTTGGATAATTGAAATCATCACTTGACCATCCACAGAGTTCTAATAATGGTATATCATAGTTTAATACATACAGAAACTGGGAGTACTGCACATCCGTTTCGTCCTCCAGCAGCGTGTGCCCACAAGTGTTTGAACCTAGGACCCCCTGGTTACAAGGCGAGCTATTGGGCCCCAATCCAATGGCCCATGAATTCTAACTTCTGCAAATTCGCGATATGATGCTCTAGTGGGTGTTTACCTGAGGTTCTAGTAAAAAGCCTTGACCAGTAGGGTATGGCAGGCTGAAGATGAGGCAGTAACTGATCGAAGAAGACATATCGAAGTGGTCACACTATGTCATGAACTGGCAGAAGTTAGAATCCATGGGCTGCCTTAATGGTCTACGAGATAGCTCGCCTTGTAACTGAGAAGGTCCTGGGTTTGCATCCCGCCTGGTTGGGGCTTAATGATGAAGAGTTCCAAACTAGTCTGATGAAACAGCTGTCTAGTACTCCCTGCAGGTTTTCCAATGGTTCTCTAACTAATGTCATCTCATCACGAAATCCTCCAACCAATCAATCAAACAAAACCCGTACAAAAACCAATACTTGAACATACAGAAACTTTTAACATCTGACTTACATTAGAAGTCCACACTCTATTAACAATATTTGATACAAAAGAATTATTCTCACTCTAACTTTTTGATAAGAAATAGACATTTTCTATGCTTAGTCAAGTGATCTCATTGAGGCTGATACTCATTACTACGATGACGAAATAGCTAACTTCAAGTATGTTTTTAGGTTAAGACGAGAAATACGGCCCTTGTATTGACTGAAATCAAAAATAATTACCTGTTATCACTCAGCTACAGTATGCCGGATGGAATGCTCCCGGAAGCACTGAAAACCAATATAAAGACGGCAGGGGATGTGTTCACGCCACACTATTGCGAAACGTTTGGAAGGAAGACTACCAAAGGGAGACGACTTAAGGCCCTACATAAATAAACTGGTGTGAAATCACACTCCTGTCCTATCAGACAAGATATTAAGTCACATCATCCTGGGAAGACTGAAAGATGCTCTGGATTCTGGAAAGGAAAATCATGTTCACACCAAATCGAAATATTATGCATCATCATCGAACATTCATCGACTTTGAAAATTCCTATGATAGCTTTGACCAGGAAGGGATTCGGGAAGTGCCCAAACTTTTTATCAACCTCCTTCAACCGATGTATGATAATGCCACATATCAAGTGATTGACAACGGAGAATGGGTAAGATAAGGTTGGCTACTGTCAGCGACGATACTCATGATTGTGGTAGCCTTGATCATGCCAAGCACTGTGGGAGGCGATAAGGTGGGCATACGTTAGACTGAGATAAAGACGCTAGTAGATGTGAACTTTTGCTGATGACCTATGTGGAATGTTACATAAACTCGAAGAATTATTGATTTGGCGGAAAAGGTTGGCTGGCAGCAAAAATGGGACTCGAAGTGAACATATGGAAGACAGAGGAGGCAATGAAGATACCTAACCACCACCAACAACAAGCAGCAATCACTATCAACTGAAGAAATGTGAAAAAAGTTTACTTTTCTCACTTATCTCAGCATTATTGTTTCAACTACAGGCGACATGGACGAGGATGTCAAATGCAGGATCGGAAGAGTGAGATAGGCGTTCATGAATCTGAAATAAGTCTGGAAGTCTTCTGCCTCGAGTAATAAAAAACACGTTTGGAACTTTCAACGTAAAATCAAGTCAGTTCTTCTATACTGGTCAGAGATACTTGGCATTTGCGTCGACGAAAGTATTTTCAACAGGCCCAAAACATTCATCAGTAGCATATTAGGAGACTAAAGCTTGTGAGATGTCTTGAAGCCAGCCTAAAAGAATTATGTTTTACTCAGAACTCAAGGGAATAACAATATTGTAATAATCACTCAGAAATCGTCAGTGGACAACTTCAGGTGATCGAAATGCAATCAATTGTTGATTATCCCCTCATTATTTTTATAATTAGTCTTGCTGTTTTATGACTGTACTGGTTAACGGGATATATGAAGATTATGTGAAGCTTTCCAAACTTTTATACACTGGATTGTATACATATCTTCAGCCTAGCGTATAAAACAGATTACTAAGCTATTCAAAAAGAGGATTATGAGTGAATTAGAACTGAAATAACCTAGCAATATGTCGTATACCGTCAGTTTAATATTTTACCTGAGTGACTGAATCCCATTCTTCCTGGTGTAGTTATTGTTATTCCCTTGAATTCCGAGTGGAACATGGGACTCCAGCAGCAGACCTCTATTTCAGCCTGTTCTTTGTAGTCATTTTTAGCTTCATCCACAATTGGCCCCCCAAGGCTTATACTACTCACATGATCTCCCCCACGTCACTCTCTGACGCCTAACTTGTTTCTTCCCATCTCGGTTCCACATCAAGGTCTGATACTTGATGTCAGTCAGTGGTCTCCTCAGCGTGTGTCAACTCCGTCTGCATTTTCTTCTGAATATTTATCAGGCCATAAGTTCTTGGTTGGTTCGTTTTCTAACAAAGTTGCTTTGTGCTAGCTGTTTGTGGCTATATAAGCTTCAGTAGTGTGTCAGAGAAGGCAGCCTTTGATGAAAGCCTTTAGGAGTCTTTTGTTGCTTTTCTTTCTGCTGTTAGTGGACATTTGATTCATTTGTTTATTGATTTAGATTTTTATCAGCTCTGCCACCTTGACGTGGTGGTCGGGCTTGCACATCGCGATGACCCAACAACTTACACTGTCTGGAACCAATGTTCCTGCAGGTCCTACCATACCAGGAAGGTGGTTAGGATAGCGATTAGACTAAAAGCAGTTACCGTCTGATATGTATCCAATATTATTTATTGTGTTGTGTTGTCTCTCTTTCTTTGCTCGCTTAGTCTGTGACCATTTCACTTGTATGAACTTGTCTCCTTTAATAATGTGTATTCTATTATATTATATATGAGTGTTTGTTGACAGTCCGTTGCTTAGTGACATTCCATATATGGTTGTTTGACATGTCTGCTATATATTTTGTTATATATATATTTCGTTCACACATTCTGTGTGAACTACTTTACTTTACTTACTTATCACTTTGGTGTGAGACCATTTATTTTCGTCTCCTTGTGTTTGGACAATAGAAGTATCATCGCAAACCCAGTGGTCTTCTGATTTCCGCCTTCTCGCGTCAGGACTATTAATTTCTCGACCAGTCCATAACAATAATTTAGCGACGAGTACATAACAATTTGGCGAGGGGAAACTAGAACATAACAATAGTGCAAGAATTTTTTTACCCTACGCTGGGGGTCTTAGGGTGAAGTTGTACTGCTGGGGAACAGGGGTGCACCAGCAGTGAGATGTTTCCCTCAGATGACCTGAATTCCGGCCATCTATGTTGTTTCTCAACTCTGGAAAGAGGGGATTAAAAAAGGTCAACCTAAAAAATTGTACATCCCGACTTTCCCTATGGTGGTCAGTAACCTGCGGTACGTTTACTAACACGGAACCAAACGAAGAAACCATTTCATACAGGCCATGTGTTACCGGTCTCAAGCAGTCGTCCCCTGAGCTCTATGCTCACGCAACACTAACCCTTTCTCTGTTTCAAGTACCCGAAGAATCAATCAACTTCCATGGTATGGGCAGCTGGGAAGTAACAACCAACCGCATACTTCCAAAAGCACATGAAGCTTCGACTGACTGAGGTCTAAATAATCAAGTTTGATCTTATTGATGTTCACACAACAAGCGTACTTTGTATTGTCGAGTTCATAAAAGTGCACATGATTGTTGAGTACTTCATATTTTGTCATTCTTGAATGAATCCTAACTTTATAACCTCTCTTATTCTCATATCACAGGTCTGTGTCTAGCACCTCAACATACTACTTACAACCAAATGATGTACAACAATTTTTATATCGTTTAATGCCAACAACTACAAATTCACTACCGTATATAAATTCATCTGCAGTATCATCATCATCGGTAACTACACCACCTATACCTAATCCTCCTGAAGCTATTTCTACGTCTACCCATCAATTGTCTATATCAGCTGGACGTTTAGATATTACCTGGAGGTCAGTTATGGGTGAAAGAGGTCGATTACAGACTAGTTCTTTGAAGTATGAAGTAAGTTCTAGGTATGTATGTTATGCTCCTCAATGCACTGAGACTAAAATAGGAATGCTGAATCAGACAAAGACGTGCTGATTATGACTATCGCTTAACTATGCCAACAACATTACATGACAGACACCTTTCTCCCCAGCCCTAACTACTTAAATGAGAACACACAGTGACATGGGTCACCAAGTTTATTTTACTTACTGGCGAATTATTCCAAATATCACTGGGGATATATCCAATTAGTCTGTAATCATGATAAATAAATTAGTGGGCATTATTTTACGTCTGCCAATTCTGATTGGTTTATTTCCAGACTGGATATCGATCACCAGACCAGGTGTTGAAGGCAGTGTAAAAGCATTAAACAGATGTAGTTAGTATAAGGTTGAGTTTAGGCCAGAGGGTATATTGAATAGGACATCAGATTAGGGATAATATTATCTTAGGGTTAGAGATGACTTTACGATCCTAATTCACTTGTAAGCCCACAATTGTTCGTCTCCAGTTGGGTCATTTGTGCCTTTTTTTACTTTGCTGATAGATAAATACCATTTAAGTGAAGGCGAATACCTGTTTCTGTCGATCGATTATAGAATGGTTACACTGCATGAATGAATGTTTATCAAATGTTTTGTAAATAATAATATTTTAAGGGCATGGCAATCATCATTCATGTGAAAAACTTTAGTTGACCTGAAGTACTTACTAGGCATTGCTTAAAGCTTGGATAGGTAGATAGTCTGATGTAATAATAATAATAATAATAAAAGCATTGCTGCTTGCAAATGTAACCTCACCTCACCTATAAGTACAGAAATTGTGTTCTATCATAAGAGAGCTTTAATATAAAACAATCTATACAAAGATAGAAATGTTATGTATCACGGTGAATTTCATGGATATATATATAAATATACACACACTGACAGTGTTCCAGATTGTATTCAAGTGTTGGTTTGTAGGGATTTGATTGGTTTACAGGATTTCATCATGAGTTGACAATAGTTAGAGAACCATTGGAAAACCTGGGAGTACTGGAGTACTGTTTCATCCTAGTTTGGGACTCTTCATCAGTACGCACCCACCGCGACTTGCCCTATTCAGGTAGGTAGTTACCTGGGGTTCTAGTGAGAAGTCGTAACCAGTAGGGTGCAGCTGGTCGGGTGTGAGGACAAATACTCGCCGAAGACATTGGCTAGAGGTAGCGCTATATCGTGAATTGGCAGAAGTTAGAATTCATGAGCCATTGGATCGGATCTCAGTGGCTTAATGGTATACCAGCCAGCTTGCCTTGTAATCAGAGGGCCCTGGGTTCGAAACCTGGCGGTTGATGCGTACTGGTGAAGAGTCCTAAACTAGGACGAAACAGCTGTCCAGATAGTTTTCCAATGGTTCTCTAACTAATGTCAGCTCATAATGAAAATCTTTTCGATTTTGTTCTCCGTATCCACAAGGTGTTCCAATATGGAAGCAACCATGTTGGACAATGCTTAAGAAGCCGACGGTGGGCTTTCTACTTATTTAACTGTCTCCGAAGAAACAGTTAAATTTATAAAGGCATATTAAATTGGCCAGACTCAATAGTTTATCCTTCACATGCATTGGAATTATGAGTAATAAGGGGTGAATTTTAATAACAGTGGTGCAGCAGCGAAGAATATTTTTGCTACTGTTGCTTTTCGGAGTTTCCATGCAAATAATTCAGTGGCTTTGTCGCCTCTTGTGAACTGCAAATTCGCACATCTATACGTTCCTTAAGCATAGATTGCAAGCACTTCCGTTTATCTGTTCTCTTCATGGAGAGCTTAAAAGATTTTTCCTGGTTTTTACATTTTTTTTTCACTTTTTCTAAATGCATGTTAACAGACATCTACTAGTGTGTGCAGGCAGTGCTTGTAGGATCTCATCAGGAGATTTAGACTTACGGCAGATAAATGAATTGACTTCATTAGTAGTTATTCACCAAATGCACTATGTGTAAATTTAGCAAAACCAATACTCTTCACTTAATTTGTTGTTGTTGTTGGTTTGTTTCTATTTTATACACAAATATGTACTAAATGTGTTATTCAACTGTCACTTTCACATTCCATCATATTTTTTTACGTTATTATTTTTAAAGTAAACCTACAATAATTTATCTATTCTAAAAGAAAACTGTCATAAATTATAGTGGGTGTTAGTTATAATTCTTTCGTAAAATATGTTTGCGCGGGCTCCAAATTTAACAGCATAGGTCTTATAGGTGTTTCATCCTTGTGATACTGTGAAGGAATATCCAGTTACTTTATGACTGTAAACACGGCCATTGAAAGTGGAAGACATGAAAAGGTGTCTATGTTCTACCTCCTGTGTTAAGCAGCGTACTATTGACGTTAGGCTTGGGTGTGTTAGTTAAAGAGGGTGAGTCAGTCGATGGGATTGTGTAGCTACATCGTTTGAAACCGGCTAGCTCACGTGTCACGTGTATGCCTAATCATCGCCTTCTTCGACAATGTTAGCTGACATAGGACCCATGCCATTAATCCACGTAGGGATTTATGGAATGCTTGACTGGTTTGGGGTCCTCTAGATGCTAAAAACCAATGGCAGGAGATAATTGGTGGTATGGCCCAAAATCGTTCTCGTCAATGGAGCAAATGTATTCACTCTCTGTGATCCGTCATATCCTGTGAAACCCTACTGTTTTTTTCTTTGTTGATATTCTTTCTTTCTGGCATCGTTGCTTATTGTCGTTCTTTTGATTAAAATGCAAAGTATATTATCACGTGAATCAGTGAAAGAACAAGGGAAGTCATAAAAGTACCGCTGGATAATAATTTACAAGGAAGAAAAACCACAATTGTAAAACTAATGAACTCCAAATACATCTGAGAACAATGTAATGTGTTACCAGTTATTTGAACAGCATTTCGGCAAGACAGTTTAGTGCTCACGCAACAAAAAAATGCTGTCGTGTTTTTTTCCCTTTCCGTTTGTTCTTCTTTTCCTTGGAAATTCTGGTCTGTCGTGTTAGAACCAGATGTTTGTGGTCTTTTCGATCTAATGACAGGAATAACCTTCCCTAAATATAGAAGAAGGGCCTGGCGGTTTGGATACTGTTCATTTATAGGAGTCCCATCGTCATTCTTCAAATGCGTCCCTTTCCCTTGGATGAACTTTGGTTTCCAGTAGGTGGTCAAGTGACAGTTTTCCCAAAATCATAGTTGCTTCAGTGTTTGGGATTGTCTACACACTGTTCAACTGAAAGTTTTCTCCTCTAAGCTCTAGTCCGGCGGTTATTTAGATAAGCAGGACAAATACAGATCCATCTTTCTTTAGCGGAATGAGGTAAGTTAGGGCTAAATGCGGACAACAGTGGCCTTTCCATTCCAATAAAACGCCTTGTACATTATTATCCAACGGTATTTTTAATGTGACTTCTATTGTCGTTCTTTGAATCTGTTTTTTCTCTGGGTCTTTTCTATCTTCTTTTGTGTAGTGCATCGAGTGGGTCAACTTGAACTACTGCATTTCTTTGCAGAGTTTCCTATGCAAAAGTCAGTCAGTGTTCAGTTAGCATGATTTAACATCATATGATGCTTAGTAGGCTGTTATGATTATCCGTCGTTAGCGTTATAATGCGTACACCTTTATAAATAGCGTGTTTTTACTACTTGGCTGACTGACTGGCTTCAGTGTAGAAGTTTGCACAGAAGTGCAGTGTACTCCGCCCCCCTCCGCATGCGGCACACAATGCAAGAGAAAAGAGTAAAGAGAGATTCAAAACGGAGATAATAAACAGAGATATGAGGGTAAAAGGATAGTGATATGGAAGAACGATATAGTTTTATTGGATATTATAAATCATTGAGGAGTGACTGTTTCTGCTCTAGCCATTGAGAATAATTTTGACCCATATCGGCGATTTTCTTCAGCCTTCATTGGCTTTACCCATTCTGACGAACCCAACCAGCAAGTGTACACCTTCCTACGTGACTGCCTTTAATTAACTGTTGTGGATTTCCTTGAATAATGTAACCATGTTTTAGTTTTGACCACCACTAGCTCTTTCCCGACCTGTTCGATCGTGTGTCAGCTAACATTGAGCGTCGAGGAAGGCGATGGCTAGGCATGCGTAATACATATCCTAACCATCTCTCTCAATTGATGTAACTTCACAACATCACCGACTGATTTCCCTACCTACCTAGTACTCGACCAAAGCTTAATCTCAATATTTCTCACCTTCTTATACCACGTAACATGAGAGATATTATGCAGACACCTATGCTCAAAGTTAGTTAGCCATCTCATGTCTTCCACTTTTACAATGACCACGTATCTCTCACAGCCATACGGCAGGACAGAGCGGACTCCTGAGCAGTGCACACATCTTTAGATAGATAGCCATCCGGATATCAAGTCTACGCCGGAGATAACGTAAATTGGCTTATGCCAAACGAGCCTTCTGTACCCATAGTGAGATTTTGTCAGCTTTCACTGCCTATCTGTAAACTAGGAGGGAGTCAATGTAATCCAGTCCTGTAACATCATCCTACATTTTTACTACTTAAATTCGTTCAGTAGTTTAAAGTAAGGAAATGTCATTTGTTGTCATTATGTATGTGTGTTTTAAAAAAAATGAATTTTAACAGCTTCCCACAATTGGTGATATTCAACTTAAAGCATCAAGTCTTCCGCCGACTGTAACGACAGAACGACCATTCACAATTAAATTTGAATTAGTAAATTGCAGGTATGTTGGATTACACACTTTTGTATGTTAATGCTTTTTCGTAGTCTATTCGTTAGCAGTTCTTCATATTTTGTCTAATAGGATCTTTCAATAGAATCTCATCCGTATCATACAAAGTTTTGGAATTATAATTGCATATTAGATGTACTTTCAGTTGGCTTGAGTAATTTCACGTCGATATCTAACCAGCCAGGGAGAATTCGGGTGGTCTGAACTGATATGGTTATCTAAGATGAGTTAAATCAGGCCCTGCACTGATGAGTATGATCGCAAACTATCGAAGCGGCCATCCGGTGTTTAGGTTGCTTCGATATGACTGGCAAGCACTACTGGTTAGTGGGAGTGGTGTCAAATTACTGATATCATTCAGTAAGTGATATATTTGACAGCGTATATTATAAAGGACATTTCTAAATTGAAATTGGGAAACTTGACTTTACTCATAGAATGGTGTCTGCTTCCCAAGCTCTGATAGTTCAGGCGGTTGCTGGAATACTCTAAGGGTGCCCAGATTGAGGCACATGGTTGTCTTGACTTGTAATCTGATTCACAAGGCGGTGGAACAGCGTTGGGCGCTACATTTGGTGACTAAAACAAGTTTCTATGCCACTAGATCGTTTTTGATTCTGGATCCCTTGCGCACCATAGATTTGGCATCAGAGTTTTTCAATCTCCCTAGGTGGTAGACCTACATGTCTACCAGTGGGGTGCCGCATGAAGGCAATGAATAGGATTCATTTGGAAGGAGCTAAAGCCGCATGGTTACATGAGAGCATTTCGGGAGGAAGACCTAAATGTACTCGCGCTTGGTCGTACTAGGTCATTCGTTTTTTTTCGGGGGGGGAGGGGACTTCAAGTACCAGTGGCTAGACGCTGTTGGTTACATGGTTAAAAATTGTTTCCAGTGGCGCAGGTGCATTCATCCCTTTGTGATCTCATACTCTCCATGGAATTATCCTTCCTGGAGTACTTTGAAGTTTCACACTAGCGATGCGTTTTGACGGAGTTTGGTTGTGCTAACCTCACCCCCAACCCCTCCTATTTTCTGACCTTACTATCGGCTAGTAAACTAGACGAGGTATAGGAGTGCGTAGGCTACGGAGCATTGTGGCGTTTTACTGACGCATATTCAAGAGGTTATAATAATATCGATTTTTGTAAATAATTTACCTTGGTCACTGATTGTATTCTTTAAATTTTAAATTATTATCATCTACCATCTGTGTACTGTGTGCGTCGATGGCTCAGTGGTACATGGCTCGCCAGCTGCACACGTTGTCAGGGATTTGATTTCCTCCCCTGGCTAGCTGGTAAGTCTCATAAAGAAGGAAGGTTGGACAACACCAATGCTAAAAGCCTGAATCCCTGTGTTACACTCGGAACTGAAGCAATCATAGAAGAATCTATTGATCGTAATACTATCTGTAATTTCGACTTACAGCACACTAGATTTCCACATAGTGATCACTGAGAAAGGAAACTCTTAAAGATGTGCATTAGTTTCTGTCACTGTCGTCTTGATTTCTTGTTCCTATTGTAAACTTGAAGATGGAACGTCGGTGTGCTAGTGCATGAACTATTGTCAAATGTTGGCCTGCAGGAATCTGATTGGCTACAGGGTAAGTCACAAGCTGATATCAGTTAGAGAACCAATAGAAAACCTGGGAGTACTGGACAGCTGTTTCTTCCTAGTTTTGGGGCTCTTAAGCACCCACTTTCAGGGTTCGAACCCAGGAGCTTCAGATTACAAGGCAAGCTCGTAGACCATTCAGCCACTGGGACCCAACTTTATGGTCCATGAATTCCAACTTCTGTTAATTCATGATCTATACTTAGCGCAACTGCCAGTCGATTTCACTGGTGAGTAACTCTTTTTTTGTGTGACTTAGTGGACCCTTCTGGTTACGACTTCTCACTAAAACTCCAGATAACCTTCTGTATGGAGGCCAGTCGCGAGTGAGCATCATATTTATTGTCGAGTATTGGTTTGAAGGGATTTGATTGGTTTTAGGATTGATCATGATCTGACATTAGTTAGAGAACCGTTGGAAAACCTGGGGACTACTAGTCCTGTAACATACATATTTGCCTTTCCTTTTTTTCCCCAGTAAAACCAATTTAGACTTAGTTTTAAATCTTCATTCAGTCAATAATAATAATAATATCCCGTCGGTGAAAGCTGATGAAGATAATCAAGTTGACAGTCAAGCTGCTATTGCTCTGGATTCCTCTTCTATTGGACAAACTACTGGGGGTGGTGGTTTATCACCACTTGTCTGGTTGGGTAGAACACGTCAAAATCTTGGCCGATTATCACCTGGTCAGTGTATTCCATTTGAATTAAATTTAATGGCTACTACACCTGGTCTGCATGTAAGTGAGAATTTATGTGTGAATATTAATTACGATTTATTTTCGTACAAAACTAATCATAAACATCTGTTCTACTTTTTATATAACTAAATATGGATAAACATTATTGTATTAGAACAGTTTCTACATAAATAAGTATACACTCACTAGCGCACACACACGCGCGCCAGTACAGTGTACATTTTAGCTTGCATACATAACTATCCTTAAATATTCCCATTAATAATATTAGAACAAGACGTATAAGCGAACAATATTGTTCACTTATAATAATAATGTATATTCGATTTTAGATTTTCGCGTCGATTGATTGGACCGAAGTTCTCAGTCTCAGGTTGACTTGTCGGCTTCTTGTACAGATGCTTCGACGATGTCTGGTTCAATCAATCGACGGGAAAAACCTAAAATTGAAAGAAGTAATTAATAAGACCCTATCGCTCAAGAAAGAGGTGGCTCTTGTGGTCCAAGTGGTTTATCGGATAACTCTTTAGCGTTTGAAACTGTGGGCAGTGGGTTCGAGCCTCCGTAGAAAAATCATCACTCATTGGGGAATGCAGGTGCATCCAGATGACGAGTCCCAAATGGGATGAAATGCGTATCCTGTCTGGATTCCACTGTTAGTCACCATCCACAAATTAGCTTCTAATAATAATAGTGTGTTAAATGTTTTGAACGTCAGTAATAATAATGGCTATAATGGTAAGAAAAAATAATGATATTAGGGTTTATGCATGTGGTGACCAGAATAACAAAGGTAGCCAGTAATATGTGTATATGTAGACAATTCAATAAATAAATTCGGTCAAATCTTGAAAGTTACGTAATACTGTAGGTGAAGTGCACAGATAATCAGAGTTTAAATAAATATTATAAAAGTACGAAGGAGAGGGATGATAAGAAAGGGTGGGAGGGTTTTGAATAGAATTCACCTAGGCGAAGCAAGGGAGAGACAAAGGTAGAACAAACTTATTTTGTCGTATGCAAAGACTAGGATTGTCCTCTCGAACTAATTCCCATAGCTTCGGATATGTGTAAAAGACGAGTTAGAATTCCGTTTAAAAGGTTCAATGAAATGCGATAGATAACTTTGAAGGCACTATTTTTGTCCACTTGGTGACCGCTACCACCAATCAAACGAGACAAAATAGAACTTTTTATAGATTTTATTTGACCTTTTCCGAACCATGAAGGAAGATGCTCACCAATGCGTTTGTTAAGCTGTCTAGTTGTTCGCCGTATATAGCTTTCTCCACAGGAGCAACTAAATTTATAGATACACATAGATACTCAATGAAATCAAATAATAAATCCTGAGGAAGTTCATCGACCGCAAATTTCTTCTGTGATAAATTTCTTTCTATATCCGAAATGTACATTTTTAAAGAGTCTAATTGGTTATGTGCATAACGATTCAGTGATCGGGAATTAGGATAAACTTTATTACGACGAAGAGGTTTCCAGTATACGTATGTTTAGAAGCACATTTCTTCATCACACTTCGACGTAGACAGAAAACATATGACTGAGCGTTAGTTTATTCCGATGAACTGTTCAATTTATTGATACACAAGTATTGGCACAGTGATGGTATTAGAACAAGACATGTAATCGAACAATTATTGTTGTCTTCAATTAGATCTTCTTTGAGCTATACTCTAATTTACATAGATTTATGCCAAAAAAATTTAACCAATTTTGTCATATACCTCACGAACAGAGGAAGAAGGATCTGTATAAATGACTCCCTTAAAAAAAAGGAATTAGGATACAGTCGAAATACTCTGGTCAAAATGGATTATCCTAGTAGATTTGTAAGGAGACAGGCACATCAACACCAGGTTCAATAAAGAAAAACTGACAACAGTTTAAAAGAAACAACTGTTCATGTAATTTCAAGTTAATGTGGACGTGGCTAGCAAAGTCCTACATCTGAAATTGCCGAGGGCTATAAAGCGGACTTATACTGCCACCACCACCACCCTTTGGTTGTCATTTTCCAGCCGATCAATAATGATTACTCGGGAGGAAGACAAGCTGCCTAGCTGTGCCACTTCTATGTGTATCTATAAATTTAGTTGCTCCTGTGGAGAAAGCTATATACGGCGAACAACTAGACAGCTTAACAAACGCATTGGTAAGCATCTTCCTTCATGGTTCGGAAAAGGTCAAATAAAATCTATAAAAAGTTCTATTTTGTCTCGTTTGATTGGTGGTAGCGGTCACCAAGTGGACAAAAATAGTGCCTTCAAAGTTATCTATCGCATTTCATTGAACCTTTTAAACGGAATTCTAACTCGTCTTTTACACATATCCGAAGCTATGGGAATTAGTTCGAGAGGACAATCCTAGTCTTTGCATACGACAAAATAAGTTTGTTCTACCTTTGTCTCTCCCTTGCTTCGCCTAGGTGAATTCTATTCAAAACCCTCCCACCCTTTCTTATCATCCCTCTCCTTCGTACTTTTATGATATTTATTTAAACTCTGATTATCGTTCCATTTGATTTGACCTAATTTATTTATTTATTGAATTGTTATTTATTGAATTGTCTACATGTATGCATATACTAACTTTGTTATTCTTATCACCTATATAAGTCTTATTAACAATATTTTGTTGTTATTATTATAATCATCGTTATTAACTTCGTTCAAAACATTTACCACAATATTATTACTATTATTATTATTATTATTATGATTACGATTATTATTTGATCCACAAAATCACCGTCATTGGTTAAAATTTTAATATATATATAAGTCTATGTAAATTAAAGCCTGAAGAAGATCTAATTGAAGACAACAATATTGTTCGCTTATATGTCTTGTTCTAATATTATAAATGGGAATATTTAACGATACGTATATATGGTTAATTTTTCTTCTGAAATATGGGAAATCGGAAGGAAAGAAGAAGACAATTTGATATCACGTGTGTATCACTCTTAATGTCAACATGAAAGTTGGAAAATGTATGCTGTCTGCACACACACCAAAGGGACATGTTCACAAAAAGGGAAAAAATCACAATACCTCTGTTAACTGCCTACCGATTATACTGGGATTTGTAGCCTACACAAGTTAACTGCACAGACACACACACACACACAGCGCACATCTTCCGATATACACATCCACAGAGTACTGTTTATAGTTGTGTTAGAAGTAAAATCATTGAAGGAAGACTTTATAAGATTGTTCAGCTGGTTGGAATGATGCGCCAACTGACTGACTTTTCAGCAAAGAACTTTGTATAAATGTGCAGTGGAGTTCAACTTACTTCACACTTTGAAGATGCACATATCATCCGAAGTAGAGGAAAGAGATATTAGATAGTTGGAGGCAATCGGAAGGAAGCCTTAAACCTAGGTTTCGTGCTAGATGGCACTCGTCAGCAAGGCATATCTGCAACCAGCTTGAAGGAACTCATGTCCCTTCTGAGATTCGAACCCGCGTCACCCAGTGCCGCTGTCGGAGACGTTACCACTGAGCTATTCGGGCTCGCGGGTTCGAATCTCAGAAGGGACATGAGTTCCTTCAAGCTGGTTGCAGATACGCCTCGCTGATGACTGCCGACTAGCCCGAAACCTAGGTCAGACTGGGCTTCCTGCCAATCGCCTCCAACTATCTAATATCATCAAATCAATGTGTTCCGTGATGGCGAGCTACCTAAAATGGTGGCCACATTACAAAGCTGACTGATAGAATGCAGTCTGCATCAAAGAAAGGACTAGACACGTCACACTAGAGGAAAAAGATATATTGTGAAACTCTGAACAACCTCACTCACTGTATTATTTTAAGTTCAATTCTCTGCCTACTTTAGAAAGAATTCCCAATTTTTAAAATCTGGTTATTGATAACTTGTAACTGTGCCATTTCATAGAATAACTTAAATTACTGTACATTAGTTTCATTTCCTTATACTCGTCTAATATTTCTACAACTATCGAATTGATTTTCTTGGATGATGTCGCCAGTCCCATACACAGCGTCACCTCCTTTTCAGGGTTTAGAACTGGCTAGTGAACTAATAAACTAGGCGACAAAGATTTACCATTCACTCACATCTACGCAGCATCGTTTCAATCACAGGCAGTGGTGGCCCAGATGAAGATGTTCTGGCTGTCTGTTTTCAACATAGAACTTTGCACCGATGTGCACCAGGTCGACACACTCTATGTAGCACACAGAGCGAGAGAAGAAATGCTAAATAAAGACGGTAGACAGAGATATGAGACAAAAAAAAGAGTTATAACGAAGAACAACATAGTTTTGTTGGGTATTACAAGTCACAAGGAGTGGATACATCTGCGCCAGTCACTGAGAACGATATCCAGCCATATCACCAATTGTCTCCAGCCATTGATTTTTACCATCCCGAGGAACCCGGGATGTCAAAAAGTCAAGAAGTCTACACCTTCCTTTGTGGCTGGCTTTAACTAACTGTTGTGGATTTGAAAACATTTATTTCCCGATATGAATTTAAAACAAGCAATAAAGGTTAATAAAGCAGGATTTAATGAATTCATCAAATTTCGGTAGAACTCGTCAGCTGAATACTCTACATACACGGATATATATACTTTTGAAATTACATTGGGAGATATAAGACTGAAAAGTAAATAATCTACATTGAATTAGTCATGCAGAAAGACAGGTGCGAATGTTTTCCAGGTCATGTTCAAATAGATAAGGCGAGAGAGAGTATGAGAGATCGAAATTAAGATAAACTGCATTACGCTTCACTTACATCACTTAGATAAACAGGGAATCAGGAACTGCAGATAGACCACAAGCCAAGTTCAACACTCAAAAGCTGAAGGACCAGGCTACAAAGGACATCTTCATTGCAAGCATAAAGGACAAAGCCGAGACACAAATCAACACTAGCGAAGAGGTCGGCGTTGAAAAGCACTGGAACAACTTGAAAACGGTGTGGAGCCAAACCTGCATAGAAATTCTAGGCAGAAAAAAGAGACAGGACAAACAGTGGCT